TATACACAGCCCCAATGGTGAAAATAGAACTCAGGTAAATCAGAGAATCTCTAAAAAGAATAAAACATGGATAAATATGCCTGTTAGCAGATTCTAACTACCTGCACTATTAAAATTATTCAACAACCTTCATTATTATTGACATATTCAACACTGTGTAATTAATTTAACACAAATACCATGTGAAAACTGTGATAGCAAGTAAGGCAACTGCCTGGGTGTGGGCAGCTGGTGAGATGCCTGATGCCAGAGCATTTGCTAAATATTGAAAGAACACAGTCACATGCAGGGAGAGCAAACATGCTTCAAAGAAGCCTTCAATCCATTTGGAGCAATGCCTCATTCATGAAAAGAAATGAAAATTCTCATTGAGAAATTGAGAAGCAATCATTAAGCAAAACCTTGAAAACAGGACAAAGGTAGTTTAGAACTATCATTATCTAAAATTTATTTTATTAATGGATACATTAGAAGGTAGGAATATATTTGTAGGAAATCAAATAGAGAAGTAGCTGCACTGTTTTAAAAGAGACCACTTAATTTTAACCTAGAAGACTTGGGTTTCAGTTCTTGTATGGTCCAATAGCAACATGTGACTTTTGAGACATCATTTAACATAATGTTCACTCAGTTTTTATTCAGAAAAAGGACAGTTTTAACATTCTACCTCAGATTTATGCACTGAGACTTTCAATTGAAATAGCTCTTTTCATTATCATGAACTATACATGACAGCGCTATTTTATGTGGCTTATACCATTTGTCAAGAGGTTCTTTTATTGTTTCAAATATGTTAAATAACAAGAAAATCACAAATTATTTAAAATATCATTATGTTTAATACAACTAAATGACTTCCATATTCCAATGGGAAAGATAAAATTGTCGATGTTATGGTTATTATGAGAATTCTTAATGGTGATACTATGCACAAATTGGTTTACCTATTCCCATTAAACGTGGTTTAACAACAAAAATTCTAATTGCCATAGCCATCAATATTTTGAGAAATCTGAATCCGTTAGAGAGATCATCATTATCTCAGATTCTTATCTATATTCTATATTAAGAATATGGCATTATATAAATGTACTAATTTTAAAACAATGCTAGTTTTTTATGTAAATAGGGAATAATTCTGCCAGGTTATTGTATACTAATTTCAGAGTAGTTTTGCTTAACAATTCAAACCTTACTGTCTCGATTGATATTTTCATTTGTTTTCTATTGATGTTTAATACTTTTGGAAATATTGTAAAGCCAGGTAATTTTCTGAGAAGTATACTTATATAAAGTTGAAAAAATATTGCAGCTTACAAAAGTGAATGGGGTAAATAGTTAATATTTCCAAAAATGTAATTTTCTATATTTTAGAATTCCCAAATCAA